CAGTATCACCAGAAACATGTATCCGTTTGAAAATGAAATGGAATGTATTTTCATATCCAATTTCTGATCATTGACTTAAAGTCAGAAAAGTGAATGACATAGCAAAATCAGATTTTCTGTTTGTTAAATAAAGTCTAATAAAACAGTGTTTGCCAGCCAGAAAGGTTCGTGTTTACAAAGACAGCTTTACAACAACCCAGGAATAAATTTAAGAAAGGAGTGGGGCCCTATGTGAAAATGATACCTTTTTACTGAGAAACATACGAAAACTTGAATAAGTGGAGAGACATATTTTATATCTGGATAGTAAGGTCACTGGTTTAAGGATGATGGCTCTCTTTAAATTGCTATTTCTCTTTTTATTTGTATAAGTGTAAGAGGTACAAGGGCAGGTTTGTTTTGTTTTGTTTTTGTTTTGTTTTTGAGTTGGAGTCTTACTCTGTCACCCAGAATGGAGTGCAGTGGCCGCTCCCAGTCACCACAGCCTCGACCTGCTGGGCTCCAGCGATCCTTCTACATCAGCCTTCCAAGTAGCTGGAACTACAGGCGCACACTACCACGCCCAGCTAATTTTTTGATTTATTGTAGAGATGCGGTCTCACCAAGTTGCCCAGGCGGATCTTGAACCCTAGGGCTCAGGCAGTCCACTCACCTCAGCCTCCCAAAGGCACGAGATTACAGGCTGAGCCACTGAGCCCGGCTTAACTGGGTATCTTAATCCTAGAAGAGTCTCAAGCCAGTGATCTATAATTGAAGCCAATTTTCCGCCTTGTGTGTATGATAATTATTTAAGTGATTTATTAAAATAGCCAGCATTAAAAAGTTTAAAAAATAAGTATCATAATGTTGTATCCTAGAGGGAATCTAGACCAGAAAAAGGACATTAAGGAAAATGGGAGGAATTGAATAAATTAAGGAGTTTAGTCAATAACAGTGTCCTTAGTTATGACAACCAAACCATTCAATGTAAGATGTTAACAATAGGGGAAACTGGGTAAGGACATTAACTTTATGCTATCTTTGTAACTTTCCTGTAAATCTAAAACAAAAAATACACTTAAACTTTAAACAGTATCACCAGAAACATGTATCCGTTTTTGAAAATGAAATGGAATGTATTTTCATATCCAATTTCTGATCATTGACTTAAAGTCAGAAAAGCGAATGACATAGCAAAATCAGATTTTCTGTTTGTTAAATAAAGTCTAATAAAACAGTGTTTGCCAGCCAGAAAGGTTCATGTTTACAAAGACAGCTTTACAACAACCCAGGAATAAATTTAAGAAGGAATGGGGCCCTATGTGAAAATGATACCTTTTTACTGAGAAACATACGAAAATTTGAATAAGTGGAGAGACATATTTTATATCTGGATAGTAAGGTCACTGGTTTAAGGATGATGACTCTCTTTAAATTGTTATTTCTCTTTTTATTTGTATAAGTGTAAGAGGTACAAGGGCAGTTTTTTGGGGTTTTTTTTTTTTTTAGTTGGAGTCTCACTCTGTCACCCAGACTGGAGTGCAGTGGCCGCTCCCGGTCACCGCAGCCTCGACCTACTGGGCTCCGGCGATCCTTCTGCCTCAGCCTTCCAAGTAGCTGGAACTACAGGCGCGCGCTACCACGCCCGGCTAATTTTTTATTTTTATTGTAGAGATGAGGTCTCGCCAAGTTGCCCAGGTGGGTCTCAAACCCATGGGCTCAGGCACTCCACTCACCTCAGCCTCCCAAAGGCACGGGATTACAGGGTGAGCCACCGAGCCCGGCTAAGGGCAGTTTCTTACATGGATATATTACACAGTGGCAAAGTCTTTTAGTGTAAACTAACCTTTACGTTTAGCTTGAGCCCAATAAATATAACAACATGACTTTTAGGCTAGCAGGTGCTCCCCACTGCTGAGGCATCTGAACACTAAGCTCATTTCTCTAAGAACCAGGGGGTAATGAACTCTTTCTGATGTGGACAGCATCAGGCCACGTGTCTGGCTCTGTACTAAGTGAACGTCTTGACTTCTTTTTGCTCATGACCTAGCCCCATACCGCAACATCAACCAAAGCATTTCCATGGATCCGGTCACCTCCGAATATAAACTGACATGTCAGGCTGAGGGTTACCCCAAGGCTGAAGTCATCTGGACAAGCAGTGACCATCAAGTCCTGAGTGGTCAGACCACAATCACCAATTCTGAGAGAGAGGAGAAGCTTTTCAATGTGACCAGCGATCTGATAATCAACACAACAGCTAATGAGATTTTCTACTGTACTTTTCGGAGATTAGATCCTGAGGAAAACAGTACTGCTGAGTTGGTCATCCCAGGTAATATTCTCAGTGTGTCTATTAAAATGTGCCTAACACTGTCCCCTAGCATTAGTGCATGAAGCCTGTTCATCATAGCAATTCATTGTTTGCTGAAAGATGAATGAAATACATTATATTTACAAGATGCATCTCGCTTTCTCCAGTCATCCGAGTTACACCGTTACTTAAGAAACATTCAGCAAACATTGAGTGAATATGCCCCACGAGCCAGGCATGGTGTCAGATGTCAGGTACACATAGACGCAGTTCACACTCTCTGGGAAACATAAGAAAACAAGCCATCCAGTCCAATGTGGAAAGTGCTGTGGTAGCTGGGCAATCTGGGAGAACACCTGAGAGGACTACGCAGTTCAGGCCATGTTTCAGGAATCCAGATCCTGGCACATCAGAGCTGCCCCTTCTTTCCAGGGTTTCTGTGGCAGGAAACAATTAGTATGTGCTTCTCTATGTCATGCCCAACGGAAGGGAGCCTTTCTCCCTGCATGCCTCTCCAGTTTAGTCTGGGATGTTTCAACTTAAGATAGTCTTCTCCGCGATAGAACGCGAAGCTGAGAGTCCCTGGGAAAATCACTAGACTTTGCTCGAGGTTTGTGACCTACTGGGCACAGTTGCTGTAGGGTTAAAGTCAGCAGCAGTGTATGAAAATGGTGGGCGACCTTTGTTTGCTCACATTCAACTACTCACACTAAAAGACTTTTCACTGCCCTGCAGAAGTAGGTGGAGTGGGAGCACAGTCTGACGGAAGGCCGAGGCCACTCAGGAGAGTGAGGAACACAAGCGCGATGTTCGCTATCGACCCAGAGATGTTCTAACAAGAAGCTCTTCCCACTGCCCTCTGCCCCAAGAGATACTGACAGAAGCTCCCAGTGCTTCAGGGGACATAACCAAAAAATTTGGACAGAAAAGTAACTGATAAAAACAAACAAAAACAATGCAGGATGGTCTGGTTAAAAAAAAAAGTCTATAGCATTAAGAAGAGGCTCTTACTGGGTTATGAGTCCTCAGGCACTGAGCTGGCTTATGTAAGAACTGCACTTGTGGGTTCCTGGCATTTAAAAAGCTGTTTTATGACAACCAGTTTGTGGGGTGACCCAGAGTGACTCACTCGACCGCTCTGAGTCTGCTTCCTCATCTGTAACTAGGGGATTTTAAGAAAAAGAACGAATACATGGTACGCCCTACTCATAAAGCTGGTTGCCTCATATAAAACCTGAGACTCAAATATATGAACAGGTGTTGCAAACTCTGAGTTGTGGTAGCTGTCGTTTTGTCCTGAGAGCTTCACCTAGGCAGTTAGGGATGCACTGTGGGTCTCTGTGTACGGGTGAGCCAAGCAGGACCTGACAAATGGTGAGAGGCGGCAGTTAGCAGTCTATGGGTATCTGGGTGCCACAGACACTTTCCTCTGGGCCTTGGGCCCTTTTCCTCCTGCCTGGGGCCAGAAAGAGGCTTCTGAGAGGTGCCAGTGACTAGACACCTAGGGCTGCTTGAACTGCAGAGTGAGACAAGCACGGGTCCCCAGTCATGACCCAGGGGTGGGGGGTGGGGGCTCCTCAGCTGGGCTGTTGGGTGTCCATGCTCCACTGTGGGCTGTCCCTGGCCCACAAAATAAAAAAAGTCCCTTTCTTTTTTTACTTTATTTTCTTTATTTGCTTTTTTTAGAGATAGGGTCTCACTCGTTGCTTAGGCCAAAGTACGGTGTTGCAACACTGCTCACTGCAGCTGCCCGCTCCTGAGCTCAAGCAGTCCTCCTGCTTCAGCCTCCCGAGGAGCTGGGCCTGTGGGGACGACAGGCTGCTGGATTCTACACTGTACAGTGCAAGAGAAAGAGCTCATCAAGGCCCCGTTTGCTACTGAGTGGACACTCCCTGTGCACTCTGCTGAGCACCACACAGACGGGAGCCTCGAGGCGGTTTGTTGGTGTTTGTGTCCTGCAGGCCGCTTGGTAGGGCTTGCCTGAGATCTCGAAGCTGGTCGGTGAGAGTGGAATTGAACCCCAGATCTGCCTGCCCAAAGCCTGGGTTTCTTCTGCTTTCCACACCGCTCCCATTTTCCTTATTCTTATTTGGGTTTTTACTTACTTAAGTCCCGCACGGCCGCCCCGGCTGAAGCGCAGCGGTGCCATCACAGCTCACCGCAGCCACCAGCTCCTGAGCTCAAGCAGTCCTGCCTCAGCCACCCAAGTAGCTGGGACTGCAGGCACACACCACCAGGCCTGGCTTGTTTCATTTTGCTCATTTTATTTTATCTTTGTGTTTATTTTCCCAAAGACGAGGCTCTTGCCCTGTTGCTCAGGGGTAGCCCACCATCCCAGCCACTTGAATTCCGGTGTTTAAGAAGCCAAACCAAATTAAACTTCAAGGAGGATTATTCTCCTGCGTCCTTTTCATCAATGTTTGTCATCAGTTTCTTTTTGTTTTGTTTTTCAGAAACACCCCCAGCCCACACTCCGAATCAGAGGACTCACTTGGTGATTCTGGGAGCCTTCCTGTTGACCCTTGGTGTGGTCCTGGTGAGCACCTCCTGTCTGCGAAAAGAAGGTATTTCCTGAACTGCAGTGGTCTCTGCTGGGGATGAGGGGAAGCCTAGGAAGGCGTGCTGTCGCGATGACACTGGGGAGGCAGAGCCAGGGACGCGCAGTGTCTGCCAAGTGACAGACCCACCAACAGGAAGCTGCCCTGCCCAGCACGCTGGCCATGCCCCTGGCTGGAGTTCTGACTTACGACGTGCTCGCTCTTGCTAGCCTCCTTTCCGGGCCAGGTGTCAACCACGCAGGGCGAGTTTTCCTGTGCCCCGAGTTGGCCAGGCGCCCCCGCCTCCTTCAGCCCTGGCCACCTCGCTGCCCTCCAGCATCACCCACACTGGAGGCGGCAGTGAGAGCCTGTCGCAGCGTTCCCAAGGGGCTGCCAGGAAACTGACTGACCTTGGCAAGTTGGCGCAAAAGCATTCTGCTGTTCGACAGCATTCCGAGTGGAGCCGGTGGGATCGCGGGTGACGGCCAGGTGTGTGGGACCAGCGGCCGGAGAGGGGGTGGGGATGAAGGCCTGCGAAAACTCGGCACCAAGTGGCTGCTTCTAGCATGCAGATAACCACAGACTTGCAGAAGAGCCAGAGCGAAAATGCCTGCCAGTTCCAGCTGCACTTAGGTGGCCCCAGTTGTGCCGTTATACTGAGCTGGTCTCTGGGTACCCTAAGTAACAAAACGGTTCCTTCCGCAGGGCCATGGCATTTTTACCATTGAAGCGTTTGGCAGGGTCTCTGGCGGAGGATGTTATGTGGTGTTGGAACTAATCTGCATGTGTTTATTTCTCATGTGCCCGTGGGAGCAATCAAAATCCAGGAAAATGAATATATTCAAACAACTTCCTCCCATTTAAGATGATTTGGAGTAGATAGTTCCCCAATACGTTGAGTATGCCAAGAGAGCCAGTGACGGTCTGCGTTCAGAGCCATCTGATGTCAAACAGGGAAGTAGGATATGGAAGGGAATTTCAGTAGCCGTTGAGAAATTCCCCACCCTTACGAGAGTGGGTGGGTCTGGGAAGGTGGCGTAACCAAGAGAGTAGAGATGAGCTGTTTCCAAAGAATAGATAACCGGAGGAACTGAGATAGCCAGAATATAAGGATCAAGCTTCCGTGATATAAGATCCTGGGATAAAGTTGATTTACACAAGGAAATTATTCTTACCAGCCAGCATTTTGAATATTTCCCTGGGAAAAAAGATCGATTCGCTTTAGGAATGTCTGGAAAACCAACAGATAATTGTTAGGGTACAGACAGGGTGGGGGGGATGGATAGATGGGCGGGGGAGGCACAGCACCAGCAACCCAGAGATCCGAGTAAATGCAAAGAATTGCAACGCACAAAGAGGTTAAGAAAAAGAAAAGTCTGTTTAAAAGTAAATTAGAGCGAGAAGGAGAAGGAAGAAAGAAGATTCACCTCCCCAAGGTGGGGGAGGGGGACCAAAGCCAGGAAGCATGGCGACAGCCGTGGCTCAAAGAGCACATGGCCACACCAGACTCTAGCAAGGCAATGGCCGCTGGTTGCTTGTGGTTGAGTCCTTTTAACTCTTCCCCTAGATGGGGGAAGATCACTAAGGTGATTGGCTGGTGGTCTGCTTCCAGGTAATCACCAAGGGGCAGGCAAGCGCACATACTGATGATGTCAGGTGATGGACAGCAGGGAGATGGGTGGGTTAGTCACATGATTGCTGCCATGGTGGAGTTTATTCGTGTCACCTAGGTCACAAAGGGCTGATTAGGTTAACCCTGGGCAGGGGGAGGATTCCTGCAAGAGACTTGTTAAATATTTGCAATTCACAAACTCAGACATTTGCAATTCACAAATTCCTTGACCAAAGGTGGGGTGGTCGTATTATTACTTTTAGGACTTTGGCCAGCCAAAGGTGATCTTTTGATCTTTGATCTTGACAAGGAACCTAAAAGTTTACTAGAGATTATTATGCTATACTGTGTATTAAAAGGTTGAGTTGTCCTGGTCTTGCATCTGAGGGAGATTTGCTGAGGCGGGGATGGGACAGGATAGGCTGCTTGTTCTGCAGTAGAATGTCTGAATGTTTTCTAATGGCTAAGCTGAGGCAAAAAAGACTAACCCCTTTGAATAATAAAGTATCTCAGGATATGGTTAATCTCTGGGGGAAAGATGGAAAATGGAAGTATATGCTCCTCAAGAAAATCCTGGAGCAAACCATGTGTCCTAAACTGTTGAATTAATTAACCTCATGCTTTTGGATCTATGGAGTAAGAAAGACCACCAGACTTCCTGGGGGATTAAAAATGTTTCATAGGAACCTGAAATTTAAACTTGACTCACTATGTGGGATGTAGAGTTATGCTATATGGAAATTAAAAAATGATTTCTTTTTCTCAAGTGAGAATGATGGATGTGGAAAAATGTGGCATCCAAGCCGCAAGCTCAAAGAAGCAAAATGGTAAGAATATCAGAAGGGACTGGGAAATTGAAGGAAAAGGAAGCAGATAAAGCAATAACGAGGAGAAATCCATCCGTCATAATCCCCCCTCCTTTATTTATTTATTTTTTTATTTTTTTGAGTTGGAGTCTCACTGTGTCGCCCAGACTGGAGTGCAGTGGCAGCTCCCGACCACTGTAGCCTCGACCTGCTGGGCTCCGGCGATCCTTCCTCCTCCGCCTTCCAAGTAGCCAAAATTACAGGCATGCACTACCACGCTCGGCTGATTTTTTGATTTATTGTAGAGATGAGGTCTCACTGCCCAGGCGGGTCTCGAACCCACGGGCTCAGGCAATCCGCTCACCTCAGCCTCCCAAAGGCGCGGGATGACAAGCTGAGCCACCGAGCCTGGCTTGTAAACCTTTTTTAAAAACATTTTCTTTGGGACTCCAACATATGTGGACAATCCCCATTACAGACTCTTGAGTCGTTTTTACAGAAAAAGCAAACTTACGTCAATATATTACACTGAAAACAAAGCGAGAAAGGCTTTGCCACTGAGCCACTGAGCCCGGCTGGCCTCCCAATTGTAATGTGAGAACTCCTCCCATAGTCTGAGAAGATTTAGAGACAGCCCTGAGACGTAGAGAGTGGTGAGCAGCTCTTTAGAGGAGAGAAGAGGGGAAGTGGGAGGACAAAGCCTCTCTTTGCTAAGCCTCTGTGACCCTGCATCCCAGCATCTCCCTGCAACAGGGGACCAAGTTGACTTACACGGATGGATAATGAATGAATGAATTCTGAAACACTGTACGTCAGGCACTACATGAACTGCTCCATGCATGGTGTCTCATTTCATCCTCTCCCCAACTGCCTCCCCCCCAAAACAATCTAAGACGTAAATACTAGAATTGTCCCCATTTTACAGTAGATAAAACACAGGGTCAAGAAGATAAAGTGCCCAAGAATACGTGACTGGCGACAAAACTCAAGCCTGGGGGCCCACCAGCCTGACCATGGACACTTACTGTTAACGCATCTGCTTCATACCCTATTTTGTTACAAATGTCTATGTTTACAAAAGGGCAGAAAACTTCACTCAGCTTATTGAACTAAGAAGAAAGTTAAGTTATGGTTTCTTATTCTTTTTAGTGTAGTTAGAAACCAAACTTAACAATGAGCCCAAGTTTATTTAAGTAGCCTAATTAACTTGGACAAGCTAAGGCAAATTTCATTATGTGATCCATAGCATTTATTTGTGTTGAAAAGTTAACTAGTAAATATTGTTTGGGTCATCATAGATGACTAACCATCCCAGGCTGTTCGGGATTGAGGGGTTTCTCAGGACATCAGGCTTTGAGTTTTAAAACCAGGACAGTCCCAGGCCAACCAGTCATCCTTTTTCATGCAATCTGCCTCTTTCTCTTATTTCAAACTTATTACATCACCAAGCAAGTATGCGTTGATGTACATGGAAGGCTGAGTTGGAAGGATTGCTGGCGCCCAGCAGGCGAGGCTGCGGTGGCCAGGAGCGGCCACTGCACTCCAGTCTGGGCAACAGAGTGAGACTCCAACTCAGAAAAAATAATAATAATCAGATATGTATATTACTTTTTCCCCAGATATCAATAATAATAATCAGATATGTATATTGCTATATTCCACCCCCCCATGGTGTTAACATACTGTTATCACTCTTCAGATACACAATTTGAGGAGACGTAATCCAGCAGGGAAACTTCTGATCTTCAAGCAGGGATTCTCAGCCCTTGGCCTCGGAGTTCATCAGGGCTAAGCATGACCAGAGGGACGAATGGGCCCGTGGGATGCCGACGGGGTGGGGCTTAGAAGGCCCAAGCACTGAAAGCGGAACCTGGGAAAACAGAGGAGAATGAAGAAAGACGGAATAGAAAAGGGAGACTGAAAGGAGACCTTGCTTCTTCAACATGACTGAGAGGCTCACCGGCGCCTGTGAAAGGGAGAGCGGACACCTCTAAGTGAGGAAACCCCAAGCAAATCCTGTGGCTTCTCCTAGGAAAACGGGTTGAGAATCCCTGACTCAATGATCAGTTTCTGCAGCAGTGCCTTCTGCCTCCACTCAATGCCTCAGTGTGTCTTCTGTGTGGTTGAGAGTCCCGGTGTTGCAACAGTATTAATTGAGTCGTTTCTATTTATTTTGAGTCCACAGGGTCTTCTTGTCATGTGAGTGTGACTGTGAATTATTTCTTTTGAAGATACATTGCAGCTGACATTTAAATTTTGTCACCAAACTAAATTTGCTACTTGATGACTCACTTGCGGCCACTAAAACATATAGTATTTGTCAGGTGCTTGGTATCGTTTGTAACTATAAATACAAATAGGAAGCACAGAGAGCAAACCACTGAATTGTATAGGATGTTAACTTATTTAACCCTTATATAACACTTCGGCTGACTTGAATAATCTTATTCTCAGACCTCAGGTGTCTGTTGCAGTATCCGTCTTGTTTAAATATCAGCTTTACCATTCTGTGATACTCTACAAGCATAATCATTTTCATCTCTGAAACACCTCTGTTGTGGTGACCACTATCATTATGCCCATTTTACAGCCGAGGGAGTAGAAAGATGAAGTCACTTGCCCAAACCAGTCAACAGCAGACCTCAAATTTCCAAGCCCATTTCCACTGCTCTTTTAGAATACAGTTTACAGCTACATTTTACTTTAAGCAGTTCATTTATTCAGAAATTATGTATTAAGTCCCCTTGCAATAGCAATCACTGTGCTAGGCATTGAGTCTACAGATATGAGCGAGACAAAGTACCTGCCCTCAAGAAGAAAGTTATGTTAAGGTTGAGAAGCTCATAGTAGCATACGGAGGTTGGCGTGAAAATGTATCATTACAATGTAGAACAATGTCCTGCCATAACGTGTCGGAGAAGAACGGTGGTAGGAGAAGTAAAGTCCAGAAGCATCTCCAGGAGGAGACAGGCCAGTAAATGTGTTCTGGGACAGTTGGATATACCTAAAAACCAAAGCACTTTCAGCTTATGAGGAGTCAGAAGTACTGTGGAAAATAATTCTTGAATTCCTTTTGTAGCATTATATTGATTGATAACTTATTTGCTCTCACCGTAAATCCGATGCTTGTTTATATACAGTGTCTGGTATTGTTTAACAGTTCTTTTGTTTCTATTTAAATGCTATTGAGTTTTGAATTCATGCCTTTCCGTTATTCAGAATTTGAAAGATCTCATAGGACACCATTTTAAAATCTGTCTCATCCTCATAGCCATCCGAATTCCCTTTCCAGAAGCAACAGGTGCTGCTTTGTATTCATATATTCTTCTAAAGATGGTCTATAAATGGAAATGTATGTTAAAAGTACGTATTTTAAAGCATTTTCCCAAGTGGTTAACACATTATGTGGCTGCTGTGCACTTTGCTATTTTTATTTAATACATCGTCTCTTATGTGGCAGCTGGAACACATTTGACGCTCCCGTGGTCATGACCCGTGTCTTGTTTCTAGATCATGTTTCCCTAGCATCTCAGTCTATGATTTAGAGTTTGCTCAACACGTGCTGCCTATGCATTTGGACAGCCAGCCATTGTTGAGTACTTCCTTTGTGACTGAGTTTGGATCTGGCTTGTTTTATGTTGCTCAGAGGGAGACCCAGAGGCTCTTCAGGGTGCCATAAGCCCATAGAGTCCTAAAGGGCCACTTTATTATTAACTCTGTATTGCAAAAGTCCTGTCTGGAACTTTGGCTCTCTGTTTTCTCTGAACTATAAGCTTTGATACTGTACTTGCAAAATTGCTTGTTCTTTCTGGAAATTGCAGCAGTGTACTTTGACTTCTGGCTGCTCTGATTGGCTGTCCTGGAACCCTTGAATACCACCACGACACAGGCCTCCTGAGACGTTGCTTTCCAGAGGCTTTGTGGTTTTTTTTTTTTTTTTTAGGATAGATAGATTTGTCAAGGGAAAGACATGTTGTGAAGGGCACCGGTGAGAGTGCCTGTTGCTGCTTTGTGATTCTTATGCCCTCTCAGGAGGTCCCAGGGTTTTCTTTCCCTCTTGGCCACTTCCTGGGATCGATGCCAAGGAAAGCCTTCGCTTTGCTGCACGTCAAGGCTGACGAGACAGAATTTCCAACCAAACTTCTGATGCTGCATGTACATTTGTACAGTAATCTGTGTGACAGTGTCCTCTGTGTGAGGTACAAGCAAGGAGTGTAGCTGGCCAAGGTATAGCACCTACTCACCTTACTCCTAAGTCTCCACACCTTCTCATGGTGTTGGATTTGTCTGGCACTTTATCCCTGTTTTGTGTTTGATCGTAAATGATGTAGGCAAAGATGATATCTAATTCTGCATTTGATTGTCACTGCATTAATTTAATAAAATATTTATTTTGTTCCTCAATAATGAGCATGTCCATTTTTGGGGGTTTTCTTTGTATTTATAAAGCCATTCCCAGTTTAAAATCTCAGGGGGAAAGTTACTTGGAAGATCTGCTGGCTCCTTCCTAGTTCTTTTTTCGTAGCTTCTGTGTCTATACAGCATGCCCGTAAATTCTGCATGATGAGAAAACTATCAGAAGAAGTTATGTAGAGAGTAATTCATTGAAAATTGTTATTCTTCTTTATCCAGCAGCTTCCTTTAGGACCATACCAAGAAAAAAGTTAAAATTATGTCATCTAAATTGAAGATTGGAAGGAGAGAGGGTGGGAGAGGAGTGGAACTCAAGAGAACTAGGGAAACAAAGGGGCTTTCCTCTAAGAAAGTACTTGTCTCAGATCTGTAAACATGGATGGGCAAGCTGGTGCTTATCAGGCTGGATATACTTCAGTCTTCAGGTCCTGAAAAGGAAGTGAGAAAGTCAGAACCAGGCCAGGCTGAGGACTGAGACCTAGCATGGGCCGGGACTGTCTTCTTATGCTAAGATCTGTAATTTTAAACCAACACAACAACACTTGTCATTCAAGGAAATGTAGACCTTTTCATCTGTCATCCAGCTTGGCTACCTGGTCATCAAATTCAGTTTTAAAAGGCTTTTCATCTTTTCTCTGAATCAGACACTTACAAAGAATGATAATGGCTGTTTCTAAGACTACGTCTGACTCAAGACGTTATAAAAGGAAGAGAGAGTATCAGCATCTTTGCAGTAATGATGATATAGAACTTATGCCAGCCCAAAGCAGTCCAAGCAATAAGAATGGGTGCAGGGCATCAAGGCATCTCATTGTCCTAATCAGGGAAGGACATGGAGTGCCAGTCTTCCTGGCTGGCTTTGGTGGCATGGTTCCAGCAGGAATTCGGTGACACTGGAGGAGTATTATGGAAAAGTGACCCAGAAAATGGCCCATAAGCGTTCATGAAACTTTTATTCTGGTCCCTTTTACAAGCATGTGACTGCCTGCCACAAGTGGACCAAATATATTTATTTATTTTTCAAGTTTTATTTCATGTTTAATCAACACATAATAATTGGCATATTTATGGGGCACAGTGTAATGCTTCGATACATGGGTACACTGTATAATTGTTATTTAGCATATCTGTTACCTCACACATCTGGCATTTCAAATAAGCAGCCTAATATTGTTGGCCATAGTTACTCTAACACACAACAGAACCCCAGGACTTATTCTTCCCCTCTGACTACTTCCTTCCCTCCTTCCTTCTCTAAGAGATGGGGTCTGGCTATGCTACCTCGCGGGCCTCAAACTCCTGAGCTCAAGCAGTCCTACCACAGCCTCCAAGGTAGCTGGAATGACAAGCACACACGCCACCATGCCTGACTTATTTACCACATTTTCTTTATCCCTTCATCTGTTGATGGACACTTAGGTCGATTCCATGGCTTGGCTATTGTGAATTGTGCTGCAAGAAATCTGGGAGAAAAGATATTTCTTCAACACACTGATTTCATTTCCTGTGGATAAACACTCCATGGTGGGATTGGTGGATAATCATGGTAGTTCTATTTTTAACGTTTGAGGAATCTCCATGTTGTTTTCCAAGATGGCTGTACTAATTACATTCCCACTAACAGCATATATAAGCATTCTTATTTCTCCACATCCACATCAGCATTTATTTTTTGTCTTTTTTATCATCACCATGATAATTAGGGTGAGGTAATATCTCATTGTGGTTTTAATTTACAGTCTCTGATAATCAGTGATGTTGAATATTTTTTCATATGCCTGTTGGTCATTTTATGTCTTCTTCTGAGACATGTCTATTCAGGTCTTTTGCTCATTTTTAAATATTGAATTATTTGGCTTTTTGCTATTGAGTTGGTTGAGTTCCTTGTATATTCTGGACATTAACCCCATTGTGAGATGTATAATTTGCAAATATCTTCTCATATTCTCTAGGTTATCTCTTCACTCTGTTGTTTCCTTTTTTGTGCAAAATCTTTTTGGTTGGATACAATCCCATTTCTCTTTTTGCTTTTGTTGCCTGTGCTTTTTAGTTCTTATTTGTAAAATCCTTAAATAATTTAGAAAACAAATAGATTACAACTATTTTAAAGTTGAAAAATTCAAAATTAACTTTTGTACTATTGATATCTTTGGCCAAATTTGCAAAGACAGATACATCCTGTTTTTAAAATTTTTCCCTATTCCAGGCATCCAAAGTTTTAAGAAAATTGATATAGTAAGCCAACTTCTTATTATTACAATTTGAACATTTCCGGAATTATTTCCAGTTTAAAAGAAGTTAAAATTTGATGAAATGAAGCAACTGTCAATGGTGGGGTCTTAACATTAATATAAGTATGACCATCGTCATTTATTGAGCACGTACTCTATGCCAGGCATTGGGATTACAGACATTATCTCATGTAACGCCATGGCCTGGTAATGAGTTATACTAGACAGAGGCATCATACTTACCTGGACAGCTTTGCAAACAAAAGTTTTTATTGCCATTGTTGCTGATAATCTTCTTACACAGTTTCCCCCACAATGGAAAACCATTCAGTGGCCATTTACAAGGAACACATATAAGAACGGGGCGTTAATTCTGGAGAGAGGATAAGTGGCCCCAGAGTGGCTGAAGCCGTAGGCTCTGATTTTCGCTGATTAGACAGTAAAAAAAAATTGCAATTGCACGAAGAGGAAGTCCAGAATATACGCTTCCACCCGGGGAAACACGTCGCTGAACGGACTCCCGCCCCGGGCCCCGAGGAGCCGGCCGA